GCTCTTTGGAGTCAGGTGGGCTCCAGTACTTGACCCCAGCTGTCCCCCTACCGAGAGCTGTGCGGCCTGCTCAGTGCCCTTCCCACAGTCTGGATTGGCGTTAGGAAAGAGGTGTGCAAGAGGGCGAGCTGCTTTGTCCAGGGCATGGAGCTGGTCAGGGCCAAGACCACAGGGCAGTGTGGGGTGGTGGCTGGCTTAGGGGTGCTCGACTACTTGGTAAATACCACAGATCTCACCAAGGCTGGCAGGAATGGACCAGAGGTGAGCCCTGCGGTGAGCTAGGGGCTGTCTTTCTTTTCTCCTAGCAGTGAGGTGGGCGTGGGGCAGTGCCACCTCTGTTGGGACCTCTGCCTGTTGGATGCATGGCCACAGTCTTGAGCAGCTTCTGGACCTGACCTGAGGGCTCCCGAGCAGCCAGGCTCTTGCATCTGGGGATGGGTGACCTTGGGCCAGGACACCTTCCAGGGCCGCTATCCTCAGGCCCTGCAGAGCGTGGCTTGCGCTGAGTGTGGCACAGCCGAATGCAGCAGCAGGATGGTGGTCAGGCCCAGGCGATACCCCCAGAGATGACGGGCGAGTAAGCTGATGTTAATTGTGTCTATGCTGCCTTCTGCCCAGGCTGCCCAGGGGTCTCCTGGAATCATCCCTGTTGGAATGTAAATTTTGTAAGCGCCTTGAGGGCAAAACGTGTGATGTTCTATGTTAAGTATTGACCGCAAGTCATGACCTTGGAGTCACTTTGTAGTGACGCGAGGCCAGGGTGACAGTGTGGGGCCAGTGGGGCCTGGGAGTGGGCAGCACTTGGGAAAGGCCAAGCTGGTCTCCTGGCAGTGGGCTGGGGCTGGGCGGAGCCAGCTCCGTGAGCAGGCGGCCTGGCCCTGGGAGGCCTGGTGTGCTTCTCGGGGGTGCTGAAGTGGTGCCGCGGGCAGAGTGCAAAGGGTTAATGCCCTTCCTTTATGAGAAAGAGGAAAACTCGCACTTCAGAGTGGAGATCTGGTCTGTGTGGATAAGCTCCATCCTCAGCACAACGGAGCCAGACCATGAGGTGGCCCGGCTGTCAGGCCTGCCCACGTCCCAGCTCCCCTGTCCGTGGCCGTGGTGCTTCGGGGGTCCTTGACTCTTACGCCAGGAGTGCCAGTGTGCAGGCCCCAACCAGGGGGCCCCATGTCTGGGGGTGCTTGTGCTGCTGCTGCCAGAGCATTTGGGGTCTGGGGGCATGTGTGAGGGGCCCGGGGCCTGGCTGGCCGAGGGTTTCTGTTTCCTCTTCTCTCCTTGGACGGTTTCTTTTTGAGAAAACAGTTGGGGAGGAGAGAGCCTTTTCTGAACCACGTGGGCCTGGGGTGGTGTGTTATGATCGTTGAACTCCTGCGGTCTAAGGGGTTTTCAGGCAGCACCCCATGCCTGCCTGGTGGTGGGACTCAGCACTGTGGGCAGCCGTCTGTGGGAGTCAGGGCAGCGAGTCCCACCGCAGCCTTTGTTTACTGTGCAGTCAGAAGCTTTTGGTTCTGTGCTGCTGCAGCCTGAGGCTGAGGACACCCATGTCCCGGGCATGTGACTGCCTGAGCCTCCACGCAGGGTCATGCGAGGTTGTGGGGAGGACGTGGAAACGTGCTCCAGCGTTGTCTTGCTGTGCCTCAGTTTCTCCCACCAGGAGCCGTCCGTCACAAAGGGGGCCATGACCTCTCGTCTCTTTGGCTCTGTCTGTGGGGCTTTGGCGCCAGCAGGTCGGGCCTGGGCCCTCAGGGAGGCTCAGAGCAGCCTTGGCAGTCGCTGGGGAGGGACTGAGTGGAGTGGAGATCAGAGGCGGGAACCACGCCAGGCTGCTCTAGGGTTTCCCTCCACCTCACCGGGGTCCTGACCACAGCCAGATGGGGCTGTAACACGAGCCGCCCCGGGAGGGCCCCTCAGATGCTGGGGTGTGGGAGCTGGTGCAGGCAGGCGGCCCAGCTCCCCACCCACATGCCCACCGCCCCTGCGTGGCTTGATGGCCACTCTGGCCTTTGAGGGGGGAGAGTTGGACCAGGACCAGCACCAGCCATGTGACAAAGCGGGTGTCGGAAAGTGACTTCCCTGAGGCCGCCTTTCCCATGAGGGGGCATGTCCTTTGGACGGAAAGTCCCAGAACCACACTCTGCTTGTGAAGCTCTCAGAGCAATATCCCGTAGATAGCGGTGTCCCGTAGATGCCATGTGTCCTGGGGCCCCACCCCACTGGGTTGCACAGTCTGGGGGCCACGTGTGTGAGCATGTGTGTGTGTGTTGCTGTGCATACGTGCAAGCATGTGTGCATGCGTGTGTTGCTGTGTATGTGGGTGTTGCCGTGCATGCGTGCAAGCATGTGTGCATGCGTGTGTTGCTGTGTATGTGTGTGTATATGAGAGTGTACATGCATGGGCATGCACACGTGCTTGTGGTTGCTGAGTGTGGTGTAGTGAGGTGAATGTGTGCGTGTGTGAGTGAGGTGAGCGTGTGTGCTTGTGCATGTCTGTGTGGATGTGCATGACACACGTGAGCGTGTGGGTGTGCGTGTGTGTTGGCATGTCTGTCGCCGGGACTCCCCGGCACACTTGCTTGCTCACAGCGTCCATGTTTGTGGCGCTGCCTCCTGAAGAGTCGGCGAGTACCTCCTGAACAGTCGGCGAGTACCTCCTGGTACTTTCCAGGTTTTCTGGACTGGGGCGAGTCAGGTTTTTAGAACTGCCGACAGTGGGGTCTTCGCCCAGACCGTGGGGGCCGAGGACTCTGCGCTGGGGTCATGACAGGTTTGGCAGCCTCAGAGGCGAGTCTCTGGATGTCTCCCATGTGTGGACAGTGGCTGCGTGCCTTCAGCATCTGGAAGCCTTGCCCGATTCCCCCCCCAGTCCCAGGTGCTGTCAGTGTGTCCCAAGAGAATCCTCACTCCTGTCCACTGTGGGGCCACGTGGGCGCTGCGGGCTGGGGTGGGCGGAGGGGGGCGCCTGTGCTGGTGGGCCTGCCCAGCGCTGCTCTGTGGGCCTTGCTCCTGTGCTCGCGTGCCTGTGGTTTCGGGCCACAGCTGGAGCTTGTCCTGATGGAGGGGCCTTGTGGAGGGGGACTGTGTGGGGCCCACCTGCCGCTCCAGGCGTCCGAGGTGTACATAGCGTTAGGGTGACTGTGCCCCGGTCTCTGCCTCGGTACCCAGTCCACAGGACTGGGACAGATGCCCCAGCATCCATGGGACACCAGCCTAAAGGGGAGGGTATTGTTTTTGGTGGGGGGAGGGACAAAGGTCGTAAGTACAAAGGAAACAAGATCTGATTTGCCAACTCTGGAGGTTCGTGCGAGCTCGTTGACTCAGCAGTGAGGGTCGCTGGGCCCCGTCTCCCTCTCCGTGAGCCAGGGTGAGAGGGAGGGTTCAGTGGGAGCTGGGGTAAGGTGCTGGGAAGGGGTTGGACCCTCGGCTGCTTCCCTGCAGAGCAGGTGCGCTCTAGAACAATCCTCCACTCTCCTGGAAGCCCGAGATGGGAAAGGCCTGGGTTGATCCTACCCAAGTGCACTTGTTCCAGCAAGGAGCACTCCGGCAAAAATGCCACCAGAGCAGGGTGGCTGTTTGGGGCTGGCGGGTTGTGGGTGCTCTCGTGTCTCAGTATTTGCTCTGTTTTCTCCTCAGAATGCATTGCTGTTAAAAAAAAAAAAAAAAAAGCGGGGGAGCGCTCAGCCTGGAGCCTTTCTGGGTATCGTGGCCTGAATGCAGAATTCTCCCATCAGCTGCGCCCCATGGGGGGTTCCACTGGCCTCGGTTAGCCAGGCTGCTGGATTTTAGGGTGCAAACAGCTACAAAAGGTGGGGGGCAAAGGGCAAGGTCTAGGGAAAGTGATTAAAAAAAAAAAAAAAAAAAAAGCGTGGGAGCGCTCAGCCTGGAGCCTTTCTGGGTATCGTGGCCTGAATGCAGAATTCTCCCATCAGCTGCGCCCCATGGGGGGTTCCACTGGCCTCGGTTAGCCAGGCTGCTGGATTTTAGGGTGCAAACAGCTACAAAAGGTGGGGGGCAAAGGGCAAGGTCTAGGGGTCGTTAGTTGACCTTCAGGGTCCTGGAACCTAAAAACACTTTATCCCAGTGCTTAACCACCTCAGAAAGAGCCTGGCCACTGGGAGGTGGTTTCATGAGGGTGTTCCTGGCTCCGGCCTCTGGGCTGTCCACTGGAGGCCGAGCACATGAAGTCACCAGGTGGAGCTCCACTCTGTTGTGCTGCCCGTGGTTCTAGGGGGATTGTCACCTGGGTCCCATGCCAGGCCTCGAGTGCACAACTGGGTCTCCGTGTGACCCAGGTCTGGTCCCCAGTGTTGGTGAGCTTGACAGACTGCGTGCCATGATGGCAGGAGGAGTGGAGGCTGCCGGACTCTGGTGACCAGGGTCATTATCACAGCCCTAGGTACGTTTCTGGCTCTTGAGTCTTAGGGGTTCCTTTCTGCTCCTACCTTTGGAGCCATTTGGGGAGAATGGTCATAAATCCCAAATACAAGTTCCAAGCAGGAAGGCATGGGGCAGGAATGTGCTGGCCACGCTTAGAGGAGGAGAGGGTGCCTGGACGTGGGGAGGGTGACGGCAGCCTTGCTGTCGAAAAAGGAGCTGGGGTCTACCCTGGAGGGAGCACTTTCCGGCCCCACAGCTGGGAATAGGGGATCTGACCAGACGTCCCATAGCAGACCACTGCTGGACGGGGTCTGGGCTCTGCCCTGCTTAGCTTTGCCTGTGGCCCTGGGCAACCCCAGCTGAATTCCACCTGCCCTGCCATTTGCTCCCTGCTGCCAGGACACCTTCCACATTTGGTCACCTCCTGGGGACAGCTTGTCATGCCTGGATTTGGAAGTGGCCCCTGGAAGAGGCTGCTCCCTACCAGGACTGCACCGTCCCTGTCAGGGTGTAACTATTTGCTGAGGACAGAGTACGTTTGCATTTCACAAAGGCATGAGATGGAGGAAAAACCAGTGTAGATGAAGAACAGGAGACTTGAGGTAGCCTATGGTGGGGGTTGGCAGGGAAGGAGCAAGGTGGATTTTCTGCTTGATGGGAGCGTTTGAGCCTTGATGGGGCCAGGTGATCAGGGGAATGTGGGGGTCAGGACTTAGCAGATGTACATTTTCTCGCACAGGGGAAGCCACGTCCAGTTTAGTCCAGTGGGCTGTGGTGGAGGACGCGGCCCCCCAGCACCTCCAGTGTCCGGAGAGGCTGCCGTGTGCTTTGAGATGCATCAGACCTCAGCTGGACAGCCTAGTGCTCCTTGGGGGTGCATGGACGTCTGTCCACCTTGCTTTAATTGGGTTGTTTTCATAAAAAAACGAAAGGTGGAAACACGGGAGGCCTCCTGGCTGGCTCTCCCCACTGCCTTCCTGGGCAGAGGAGGCCGGCATTGTTCGGGCCCTCGCACTCCGTGTTGCCCTGCGTTGCAGGAGGACTCCGTGGTCTTGGTGGGCCTGCAGTATGCCTAGAGGGCCCGTCTTGCGCAGGCCCCTGTCGAGGGCCACGGTCTCTGAGGACAGCTGGGCCTGGTGGTCACTCACGGAGCAGCTGGAGAAGCCTCTGGGTAGATCCGCTGCTGGGACTCTGAAGGGAGGGCTGCTGCCCCCACGTTGGCACCTCCCCGAACACACTCCCAGACATTGTTAGGATTTCTCTGATTTCTCCTAATGCTTTCTCTGTCCCGGCACCCCATACAGGATGCCACATGACATTCAGTTGTCCCCTCTCTGAGGTTCCTCTTGGCTGTGACCGTTTCTCAGGCTTTCCTAAATTTTGATGGTCTTGGACAGTTTTGGGCGAGAACTGGTCAGGTGTTTTGGAGAATGACCCTGAGTTAGGATTTGTCTGATGTTTGCTCTCATGGTCAGTCTGGGGCTGTGTGTTTTGGGAGGAAGGTCTCTGAGGTCACGTTCCTTTCTCGCCATGCCACATCTGGCCCACGTGTCACCAGGGCTCTGCTGGCGGGCACTGGCAGGCACTGGCGGGCGTCTCTGGGGTGGCGTCGCTCTTGGTCTTTTTCAT